AAAGTAGTAAATAATAAAAAATAAAAATTCACAAAAAATGACGAAAAAAACGAAACAACAAATTAGCATTTAGCAATACAAACCGAAGGAAAAGAAGATCCAGGTAATGATTAAGAATTTTTTTTCTTTTTTCTCAATATTAAGTTTGTGGTGGTTGTTGTTGTTGCTGTTGTAGACCAAGTGCATTGAATAAACGTGATTTTAAACCAGATGATGATTGTGACTGAGTCATACCACGATGTATTTGTGAAGCAGTAGCAGTAGTAGTAGTAGGTGACATTAACGAATCATCCGCATATGTACTAGTAGCTGTTAATGCTGACTGATGACCAGACACAGGCGGTTCATGCTGCAAATAATCAAAAACTATACACTACATTCACTTGAACAAACAATCATTAAGTTTTCTTTTTTTCCTTCTATGAAGAAAAAAGAAACTTGCAACAAGATAAAACCAAATAGAGAGAAAAAAAAAAAAAACATTAACAACACAACAATCAACAAAAATAAGAAATATTACGATTGATATGCTCGATTTCTCTTACTACTATTCCACAAAAATAGTAATAACTGCAAATTTTGAAGAATAAAGAACGATGACAGAAATGAGCATGATAGGAGAATCTTTCAAATGTACCCGAGTACAGGACAACATCACGAAACAAAATTTATGCATGCAAGAGGTGAAAATCTGACAAAGGAAGCAACACATCGTAAATTTACAGACCCCTTTCGTTATCAAAAGGAAAAATAACACATATATACTAAGGTTGTAACGTCAAGAATGAAGAAGGAAGTACATCCTTTTCTACACTACCAGAATTTCGAACATGAAAAAGAAGCGTTGTAAGGATTTGGTATCAACTTGAAGTGTTACCGACTGTACTTTACTACCACCAGTATAGAGTAATAAATTACTCAAATCAGAGTTTTCTAAATTAACTCCACTTTTTTGCAATATTATGGTACTGAACACCAAAACACAAAAACATCAAATGCGACAAAAGCTTGTGCATATCATAAGACAATATTTATAAACACAAGCGGTTTGAACAAACCTCAACACCTTCATGAGGTGGTGATAAATCAGTTGTATGTTCGGCAATCAAGCGAGCTACTTTCGCTTGATGAGCTGCATCCAAGCACTACAAAGCTTGACAAACAATGCCCATTTTTAAATCGCATTCAAAGAGTTAAAATTTCAACCGAGAAAGGTAAAAGTTGCTAAGATGAAGATAAACATGAGATAACTTAAAATTGTTAAAGCTATTGTCAACAATCCCACAGTCAGCTGATGCATAAAATTTCTACAACAAGGTTTAAAATATGAAGAATAATTGAAATGCAATTTGTCACAGCAACTAAACGCTTCTAAATAATCCAACAATCAAAATAAAACTAATAATGTATTCGGATCCTCATGGTTACTGTTCTCAGTTAATGTTTGAACTCTCTTTAGGAAATGAAACTAAAAATAAACAATAGCTTACCTGCTTTTTTGCTCGCAATGCAGCATCTTCAAGAGTTTCCGCTGCTTCGTACTTCCCTTGACGTCTGTACAATGCTCCAAGATTCTTTAACGTGGTGGTTACTGTTGGACTACAATAAAATCTATAGGTTCTGAATTTGAAAAAAAAAAAAAACAAGTAATCGAAAATAACCAATGCCACAATATTTTTAAATCATAATCTGCAAAACAAGATGAACTTTTTGGATAAAAAACATACTTCATCTGTTTCCCACGAAAAAAAACATAAAGAATGGAAGTGATAAGCTCAAGACTTCAATACTTCACAAATCACCTGTCAACTTTTGCAGCTTTGTGCCAACCACCATATTCCTGATACGAGCTTGTATCACCTCCTTTATGTTTATTCTCTTCACGATCTTCAGCAATTTGCCAAATTGGCTTATTGTCATCCGCTACTTTCCCAAATTCACGTTCATGAGCACGAGTTAAGATCTGTTTGTAGAGGATTTCAGCATCCTGAAAATTCACTGAATTAAAAATTATCATCAGAAGAAACATGACCAAAAGTTTTAAGTAAAGATATCACTGAAGAAAGATAAAGACTGATCCCAAATATACAAAAACTTTAAACTGGAAGGCAAAAATATAAACAAATTTGTGTGATATTCTATATTCAAGATGTATGTTTATCTACTATAAAAATACATATTGCCAGCACACTACAATGTGCCGATTGTAAAAAATATACCATCAGTATTAAAGAACGACTTAATATGTTATGCAAATTTTAATCAACTAAAAAATAACTCTGTAGTTGTTCGCAACGAGAAAGAATTTAACTATTAATTCCATTTAGCATGAATGCTTCAAAATATTAAGACTATGATGAATACAAGGTATTGCAATGAATAACGTGAATCTGATATATAATAAGCAGAAGAAAAGGCAAAAAGAAAACAGCAACGAGTTCTATGTTTTTGTGAAGAGAAAAAATGAAGGAAACATTAAGTTACATTTTCAGAATATGAAATATATAAGTTTTGAAGGTGAGTGGTAGAAAATTAAATTTCGCTGATAACAGCAATTTAAAAATTACTTTAAAAAAAGGAAAAAAAGCTAGAAGAAGCATTAAGGCTATTGATAACCATATACTCGGATAAATAAGTACAAAATTTTTTTCAAATTTCTAGAGACTAAATCAGGAGCAACTGGATTCTTTCATTCTAACATGTTTTCTACACAGAAAAAAGAGAAAAGCTAGCAAAATGACAAAGTATAGACACATTGATTCCAAGAATGAATGATTAGTCCAAAAAATAAACATATCTAATCATAAACATATTAATATGTAATCAGTTAACGATAAATAAATTTACCTTAAGCAATGAAGATGTGAATTCAGTAAGATTAATGATAAAGTTGTGATAAAGTTTTAACACTACTATCAGCAAAACAACGTAGACATTACTTCTGCGAGCAAAATTTCTTCATCACTAATACTAATGATAACCGCAAAAAAAAGCGGTATGCATTTACCCCATAAACTTATATCACTTCAAATATAATTTGAAAAGGAGATACCTTATATTTCCCTTGCTTCAAATAAGCTGATGAAAGGTTGTTTTTCGTTTTTGCTACATTCGGATCATCGGGACCTAATTTTGTTTCATAGATTTCGAGTGCACGTTTGTAAAACTTTTCGACTTCATCATATTTACCCTGGTTTTGACAAAGCAAAGCAAGATTATTTAATTGCTTAGCAACATCTGGATGATCGGCGCCCAGCACCTAAAAAAAGTATTCGTAATGGACAATTACCAGTACTTCTAAAAGGTACATTATAGCTTAATAATAGCAAAATGAACTTAAATACTTAAATGCTTAAATAACAAATGACACTTAAATGATGTCGTCCTTCATCACTGAATAATTTACTAGCCACATCCTGGCATTTCGCAAGAAGGTTCTACATTTATGATGAAATCTTAGATTTTTTCGAAAAAAAAAAATTTGAAATCCCAATTACAAAACGAACATTTTCTCGGATTTCCAAAGCTCTCTTACAAAGTGGTTCTGCATCCTTATATTTACCCCGTTTCCCATATAACACTGCCAGATTATTGAGTGTTGCCGCAACAGCGGGATGATTTTCACCAAGACATTTTTCACGTATATGTAATGCTTCGTTTAGTAAGTTAGCTGCCTCCTTATATTTGTTTTGATCACTAAAAAAGAAAAATATTGAATCTAATTATAACGAGAAAACATATATTAAAATATTAGACAGACATACATCTTTTCAAAATTATCTACCATTTATTCTGCACTTTTATGTTAAGATCTAAAATTCTTATAAATATTTCCCATGATATCTTTTGCGAAATAATCTAAATCAATCTGGGAAAACAATTCAAACGTTTTTATTTCACAAATAACTTTAATGGAAATAATTATTTTAACCAAAACCATATTAATAGTCAATAACATCGTGTCTTTTGTTTACCGGTAATTCTTTTAATTAGCAAGAGCTAGAATATTAAGCATAGTTGCGACATCTGGATGATCGTGCCCACTAGTCTTCTCTAAATCTTCCAGAGCTTGCTTACAAAGAGGTACTGCTACTTCATATCGTCCTTGTGATGCATATTGTATTACCTATAAAATTATTAGCAAATCAATAGCTCAATGATCATTTCGAAAACCTGTTGGAATTAATTTAAAAAATATCTACCAAATTGTGCAGAGTTCGAAGACGAGCTGGAATTTCATAGCCAGCAGATGCACTTGCTGCCATCGAATGAGCAGGTGTGGGATGTGCAAATTGCCCAGACATGTGTCCTATAACTCAACTTATTCTATCGGCGTTCTATTCATTAACTAAATTATAACGGTACAGCTTATAAACAATAGTAATAAAATGTATAACTGGAAATCATATTAAGACATAATACACTAATAAATCAACACTACATTTAGTACGTTTCTAATGCATACAGAGCATAACTAAGTATTCATAAGGAATGTGTGAAAAAATAATGATAAAGCTTGATAACTAAATGGATTGATCAGTAACGAAAGCAAATAACAAAAATGTGCATTACCATTTATTTCCTCGTCTTCTTCTGGACCAAAACCCAAATCCTGAAGAGTGTTGTCACTACGATTGTCGTTCTGATCCATGGTTTTGTCATTTTCCTGAATTCATCTAACAATTTAGATTATATTTTTAACATTAAATACAGATTCAAGGATTTCCTAACTAAGAAACATTTTAAAAGCAAAATTTTGCTAAATGCTTAACATTGTGCAGTTTTTAAAATTTCCAATTCCTTGCATTACTGAATACCGCATTATCAACAAAATTACTTATCAACTTGATTTCTTAGCTATTTATCTAAAGAAATAATTGCTTACAAACGACTATCATATTAACAGATTTTTATATATCGAACATATAACATGCTTTTCTAATACTTATTTATAGAAGACTCAATATTGCTGCGTAAATTATAAGAAACCAAAATGCAGTAACCTGTTGGTCATCATATTTCTTGATCGAATTCATATATTCTAAGTGCTTTTTTTCCTCTTCCAATTGTGCTACTTGCTGTAATTTAATTATTGTTAAAAATTTGCCAGAGAAAAGCTCAAAAATTAGAAAAAATCATAAAAAAGGAATTTTTTTTTTTCGTCCTTTAATATCAATTAATATCAGTCAACAAACCTGTCCAGTGGCTTGCAGCTTTTGCTGCGTTGAATTTAATTCATCTCGAAGCCATGCATTCTCTTGACAAAGTCTTCGTACTTGCGCTTTCAACTTCTGTTTCTCGGCTTCTACTGTCTGTAGATGACCAGCTAATGCCATCATAACCTAAATTATTTTTAATAAAATTAATCCCGAACTTTTACTGACTTACTGCTGGTAGATATAAAGAATAAAAAAGAAAAATATTATTTTTTGTTAAAAAAAAAAGAAAAAAAAAAACTAAATTCTAACCTGAGCTTCTTCGATGCCTAAGCGTAACATTTCCAAATTTTTGTCCACAATATGTGTCTTTTCCTCAATAAGTGCCGACTCATCAGCATGCAATCCTTGAATACTACTCACCAATGTACCCTGTAATGGTAACTATTGTTTAGAAAAGTAAACGAATTCTAAGATCGCTTTTTCAGAAAATCATCGGAATATTTGTCTATTTACCTTGATCGATTCATGCTCATCCTTCAGTGCTTCCAAACCCTGCAAAACTGTACGTGTACTTTGTAAGATCTCTTCCTGTGATAATGCTGCCATTCTGCCGATATCCTCTATTTTTTTCCTAAAAATATCATAACCAAATTAAAAAAAAAAATTTTTTTTTTTTTGAATCTTTGAAGATATTTTTCAAATTGTAAAGAAGGTGAAAAATGTTCAAAAATGTCGCTATTTATAAAATCCGTGATCATGGATACCTCAACAAAAGGAGAAGATGCAATTAATGCGTAAAGTGAATGAGAAAACCTATTAAAGAGGTAGACAAACGACATCACTTAAAATGTTTGTTAGTTATATGTGTGTGACAGAGAAATGGAAAAAAATCGAAACGAGTATGTCATTTTGTTGGTGACAGATGAAAAATACGTACAGTAACCCTTCATCCTTCTCCTTTTCGCATCAGCTAAGTTCATCCTGACGATAAACATAAACAAACAAACACACACATACACACATACACATACACATACACACATGCACATACACACATACACACATGCACATACACACATACACATACACATACACACACAAACACACACACACACACATACACGACCGATCTATATAGCCTTCCTAACATAATCCTCCAAATATCTCTATTCCCACCTTTTTCACCTACACCAAACTCAAATAATATGCCTAAAGGAATGGAATTAATGGAAGAAAAAAATAATAAAAGAATGTCGCGCCTGGGACATCGAAATATCGAAGAACTGCGCCTGGAAGATCGAAATATCATATAAAATGTTGCATATAAATATAAGATGCATATAAATGTTGCTGGTTTAATCAAAAAACCAAACTTGGGGTCAAGAGAGAGAAAGATATAAGGATGATATTATTGATGGTGCTAATATTACTGCTCACACTATTCATACGATAAGGGACCGTTCATCAAAGTCATAATTTATAACTATCACTTTAAAATAGTGATAGTTATAAATCATTCTTTCAATTGAAATTAAATTTTAATTCAAATTTAAATTTTTATTATTAAGAAAATGCTGCAATTTGTATTAGTTCTTTTATATAAAACTTAAAAATAAGTTCTGGTTCTAGCAAACAAATTTCAATTTAATTAAGTGTTTGAACTACTAATTCATTTAAAAATAAACATTTATTGAACTTAATTGATTACTTTTATTTGCATTAAACTTGATCTGCTTGACTTTTTTTGACATCTTATGTCAACTTTAAAGCAAACTTTCATTGCAGAAATTAATTAAATCTGCAATTATAATTGATTTCAATTATTTTTTAAATATTAAAATTATTTTTAGTCACAATTCTATATAGAATTACTTAAGAAATTTCGACAGTTTTTAAAAGTTTTTATAAATTAATATTAAAAACATTTTAATTTTTACTAATTTCATATTTACTAAAAAGGATGAAAAGTAATTTTAAAATAGTGATACTTATAAATCATTCTTGCAATTAAAATTAGATTTGAATACAAATTTAAATTCTTATTTTTAGGAAAATGCTGCAATTTGTATTAGTTCCTTTATATAAAGCTTAAAAATAAGTTCTGGTTCTAGCAAATTTCAATTTAATTAAGTGTTTGAAAAACTTAAAAACATAATTTAATTAGAAAAAAAAGACATAATTTGAACTTAATTGATTATTTTCTATGTTCTGTATGGTCACTGATTACACTCGGTGTGGTCATTTTTCAACTTAAATAATAAATTCAACTTTTATAACTGAGTTTTAAACATCATTTCAGCAGCAAAATTAATTAAATTTTAAAATAGTGATAGGTATAAATCATTCTTGCAATTAAAATTAAATTTTAATTCAAATTTAAATTTTTATTATTAGGAAATATTCGAAGAAAAAAATGATGGAACAGTCTCCGTATATTAGATGAAAAAAAAAAAAAAAAAGAAAATCTTCATGAGCGCGAAAGATTGCAGAGAAATACTATTATCATGAATGTTCATTTTCGTCACTATTTTCCTGTCTTTTTGTTGTGTCAGAATTATGAGTATCAGGGAAAGTATGGGATATTTAATGATTAGCATAAATGGAATTATGTGTAGGTAAATTAAAATATGTAAATCAGTGTTTTTTTACCATAAGTAAATAATAGTTACGTCACTGGTCTTTGTGCTTAATGAATGATAAGTTTGCTAATTTTATAGAATTGCGGCTCCTATGGAGGATCAAGAAATCGAAGTGCTTTTCGAATACCTTAAAAGGGAGCCGGAGATGTACCGGATTTTGCAAAGGTTCGTGAGCAGGACTGTTCAGGTAATTTTCACTTTGTCTTCTTTTTTGCTTTTATTTTTTATATTATTATTATTTTTTTTTTTTTTTTTATAAATTGATACAGTATGAAGAAAGAGTTGCTAAACTTTGCACTGTCTCAAATTTAAAAAGTGACTGTAAAAAATAGCTTTTTCAATTTGAACAGTCGCTCATAGAAAGGATGGCGGAGGCGGGGTGGAGGTTGGAGGAACTGGTAGGGCAGCCAGCAATGGAAGAGAACCCGGTACCTCAGGAGCCTGAATTTAATGAAGAAGAGGTAGAGTGGGCACTCTGCCTGAAAATGGATATGATGAGGCCGAGAACTGGCCATCAGAAGCAGAGTGGACCCCTCTGCCAGAAGAAGATGAAGAAGGAGAAGAGCCTGAGGTACCGGGGGTACCAATGAAGATCGAGGAACCGGTGGAGGCAGTACGTAAACTCGTCCTGTAAGTTTAAGTTTTAGCAGCAATTGTACAGCAATTGTATTAATTTGCTAACTAGATATCAACTTACCTACCAAATAATTTGCAATAAATACAAAACTGTTTCAGGTGAACGAGAACAATCAGAATCCCGGTTCCTGCCATGCAAGAAGCAATGGCTGCGGCACCTCCGGAAAAGTTAGAACCAGCTGATTTAAAAGATCTTCCGGAGCAACTCCCAAGAGAATTGATAGTGCCGCAAGCAGAGCCATACACGGGGCACAAGGAGAAGGAAACAAGAACATCGGTAAGTTATAATTTTAATAACTTAAGAAATGATTATATGCCGCAATTTGTAGAAGAAATATAATCATATTTTGACTTCGTACTGATAAAATCATATGATTTCATCGAAAATTTCATCCTTTATAATGCACCAAAACGATTACAAAATTCTATATCGATACTCGAAGAACAATTTGTGCAACAATATTTTCTTACTATTTCTGTTTTCAAACTGCAGGCAGTTTGAAACGTTGAAAGGGTGGCATATAAATTAATCAATTAAGTTCAAAATATCTATTTTTTTTAATGGTTTTAGCATTTAATTAAAATGAAATTTGATAATACTACAATTTTTTCCCTTGTCTATTATAAAAAAACTCTTATAAATTGTTGAATTTACATAAAAATCAACATTTACATTTGAAATAAAAATCAATTTATTTCGCAAAAATGAATTAAAACTATGACTAATTAAAATTTTAGTAATTTCGCTGCTACAATATTGCTCAAAATATAATTATTTATTTTATTATTTTGAACTGTCAAATGACCACACCTTAATGATCAATTCCCGTACAATACATGCAAAATAATCAATTAAGTTGATTATATATATATTTAAATGAATTGCTATTTTCAATAGTATTCATAGTTAATTTAAATGAAATTTGATAATACTACATTTTAACTTTTAGTCTAATATACAAAAATTGATTTTTGTGAAAATTTAAAGTTTGAAATAAAACTTAAGCCTAAGTTTATCCTAAGTCTAAATCTGGGCCTAAAGTTTATCATATTATTCAAGCTGTTAGATGGCCACACTGTATACGAGCAGTTCCCGTACAATGCATATCAAACAATTAACTAAGTTCTATTTATCTATTTTTTTGATGAATTAATATTTTTTAATAGTTCTTACAATTTGATAGTCAATATACAAAAATTCTTAAAAATTGTATAATTTTCATAAAAATTATTATTTAAATTTTATATTTATTAAACATTATTTCATTAATTAAGCTTTTAGTCTTCCAATGTTAAGTTTGTGCGTCATTTTCAACTATTTTTGATTTTGAGGTAAAATATGAATTAAAATTGAATCTTCATTAAAAAAGTACAAATATTTTAAAATTATCCAGCATTTTGCTTACGGTAATATATTCGAGCAATGATGATCTTTGTTTTGAGGTAAAATTTTTCTCACAGTATTATTTGAATGAGCAATTTTAATTATAAAAAAAATAATAAAATGGAAACCAAAAGAAGATAAATTACACTAGATATTCTCTGCACTCTTTGACACGCTACTTATAATTTGCTCAGTGATTATTAAAGTTTGTTCCACCCCATGTATGGTCTTTTATCACGTGTTTTTTGCATAAATTTAAAGATGGCAGCGAATTTTATAGTCTTTTGTTGTATTTTGCTTGCATAATGTCTGCAAATTCCATGCAGGCGTTTATGATTTACCGCTGTTTATTTATGTGCTGCTGTAAGGGCATATCATCAACTCAAACACTAAAGTGAGTCATGCCAGCATTAACGCTTGCATTTTTTTCTAAATCATTCATTGCAACACTGCTTATAACCATAGACTGCGTGTAAAATAAGCTAAAAGCGTCAAAAAAGTTGCCGTCTTTTATTTTACCAATATGCACGTACGCACAACAACCAGTATGAATGAATGTGCCACGTTTATTTTGATTACAGTAATGGTTGTTGCAGAGATGAATGAGTTGGTGTAGTACATTTTCCTTCAGCCAAATGTTCATATGAATTTTTTTAGCTATAGGCGCTGCAACTGGCAATGCTGAAGTACCGATGGAATGCTGCTGCTGCCGCTGCTATATTATGGTAAATAGTTATCTCGTATCGATTGATGACTTTCCTCTGTACATTATGGGATGATTAATTTTGTCTACTTACACGATATACCCAAATGATTAATAAAGAATGTAAGGGTGAAATCCAAAAATGATGTTAGAATAAACGAATTTGAGGCGATTTTGCATGGGTATTTTGTACTGCCATCACGGCTGCACAGTGATACGTACACACAATGCGCTAGGATTTTTGAGAATCCAAGGAGAGAAATGAAAGTCTGTGAGCTACTAGCAAATAAAATAAAAAAAAAAGAGCTAAAACTCCACAGATTTAATTAATACTTTTTTCTGCAATTGCTGGGATAATTGTTGGTTTCTGCGTTGTTATTCATCGAGTAAAATCCTTTTTTTGTATTTCTATTAAGGATTTGACAATAAAAAATTTCAAAATTTCATTGTTACATAGTGAAACAACAGGATTTCTCTTCCATTTTTTCTGAAGAGATTTTTCAATCTAAGTGATTTTTTTTATAAATTTTAAAATCTGTCGAAATTTCTTAAGTAACCCAATCTGGATTTGTGACTAAAATTAATTTTAATATTTAAAAATATTTGAAATCAATTATAGTTGCAGATCTAATTAATTTCTGCAATGAAAGTTTGCTTTAAAATTAACTTTTAAGTTCTAAATTTGACATAAAATGTCAAAAATAGTAAAAAGAATGTCAGCAGATCAAGTTTTATGCAAATAAAAGTAATCAATTAAGTTCAGTAAATGTTTATTTTTAGAAAAAATATATTTTTCCGGCATTGGCAGATTTTATTTGAAACAGAATTATTAAAAATTAAAACATCTTTAACATTTAAATTATTAAAACTTTTAAAATCTGTCGAAATTTCTGTAGTAACCCAACCTGATTTGTGACTAAAATTAATTTTAATGTTTAAAAAATATTTGAAATCAATTATAATTGCAGATTTAATTAATTTCAGCAATGAAAGTTTGCTTTAAAGTTAACTTTTAACTTCTAAAGTTGACATAAAATGTCGAAAATAGAAAATAAAATGCCAGCAGATCAAGTTTAAAGCAAATAAAAGTAATCAATTAAGTTCAATAAATATTTATTTTTGATAAAATATGTTACTTAAGAAATTTCGACAGATTTTAAAAGTTTTAACAAATTAAATATTAAAAGCGTTTTATTTTTATTTAATTCTGTTTCAAATAAAATCTGCCAGTGCTGGAAAAATATAATTCATTTAAAAATAAACATTTATTGAACTTAATTGATTACTTTTATTTGCATTAAACTTGATCTGCTTGACTACTTTCGACATTTTATGCTAACTTTAGATTTTAAAAGTTAACTTTAAAGCAAACTTTCATTGCAGAAATTTATTAAATCTGCAATTATAATTGAATTCAAATATTTTTTAAATGTTTCAGAGGATGGAATCAACAGAGGATGGATTTAATAAGGTCTAATTTTTGAATTTTATTTTGAGCTAAATCATAAGTTGATATCAATTTGTAATTACCTCTGTAATTATCTTTGTGTGTATGTGGTGGGAGGGAGGGTAGGGATAGTCGAAGGGAGGTATAGAATTATACCTTCCTTCGTCAGTATAACATTAACCAAGCATATAGAAAAAATTTATGGTTTTGAAATTCAGATGGACCTACTGAAATCTGGAATAAATTTCAAAACTTTTGATTTCTATTCATTTTTAAGGATATTTTTTGAATTGGTAGAACTTTAAGCTTTAAAAAGATCTCAAAAATATTTAGTTTTTGTTTTTTTTTTTTTTTTTAATTTTTGCGTTTTCAATTTTTTTTTTGAAATGAGTTAAAATCTTTTTGAAATTAGTTCTGTTTTATTCGGATTTTCTTTTGGAATCTTTTTTTTAGTTTTTTTTTGAAAAATTTTTTTTGAATTTTATTAACTGCATGTTTTTTTTTTTTTTTTCATTCATCTATTTTGCTGCGATTTTCATTTTTTTCTTTTTTTTTTTTTTTTTTTATTAAAACTGTCTCTAGCATGCTTTTTGCTAACTTTTGTTCATTCTACTAGTATTAATTTATTTTTGTTTCATCACCACTAATTTCTATCTTTTTTTCTTTTGTTTCAAAAATTGTCACTTTTATCATTTCTTTGTTTATATTTTGTTTATGCATGTGTTCGGCTATTTCTACAAATTGCGTGTTTTTTATTTTTTTTTTTTTATTTTTGCTTTTAACACCTACATTTTTTGCATTTTATAACTGCATGCTTTTTGTAACTTTATACCATTTGCTGTTTTTTTATTAACATTGTTTTTGCATGCGTTTCTTGGGTAGTTATATTAACATGCATGTTTTTTGTAAACTAACACCATTTATTATTAAGATGTACACTCTTTTCTTTTGTATTTATTGCATGCTTTTATTTTCCACTCGTTTTTTATTAACATTGTTTTGCATGCATTTTTTGGTTAATTTTATTAACTGCATGATTTTTGTTACTTTATACTATTTGCTGTTCTTTTTATTAACATTGTTTTTGCATGCGTTTCTTGGTTAGTTTTACTAACATGCATGTGTTTTGTAAACTTACTTACACCATTTATTATTAAAGCGTTTTTTCTTTTCTATTTATTGCATGCTTTTGTTTTTCGTTGTTCTCATCGTTTTTTTTTTTTTTATTAACATTGTTTTTGCATGCATTTTTCGGTTAATTCCATTAACTACAGCATTTTGTATCTTTACTCATACCATTTGTTATTATGACATTTTTTTATATTGAAGTGCATGCTTTTTTTGTTGGCTTCATTCATTTCTATTAACATTGTTCTTGCATGCGTGTTGAGTATTGTTATTACTATTAGTAGTAGTGTTATTAAATTACTATAATGTCTTATTGTTATTATATTTCCAATTTATTTATTACAATTTATTCTTCACCTAATTTCAAAGTGAACTTTTCTCATAAACAATAATCAAATATAGTTTATAAATTGCAGTGCTTCCTTACGATTAAGCAAGCATATCAATATTCAATGCCATATGCTATTCAAACTAGAAAGCATTTCAGTGAGATGCTGCTATAACTTATGTCTTCGGGACAACGGTATGCTTAATTTCTATGCATTTTCTCTCTTAAATCTCATTTTAAATTATTTCATTTTTGTTGTTTTAGCAATTTTCGAATAATATTTCTAGTTTATTAAAAAATCAGATAGTCATTACATGTCAAATAATAAATTAATTTTTTTAAAAAATTGATCCCAAAAATTGACCTCAATTAAGTGATTTACATAATTACGTAAGAAAATATTAATCCATGCATTCAAAATGATTTGAATTAGTGGAGCTAACAACATTCTTAATGGCTCAAACTATAAATTTAACGAAAATGTAAATTTTAAAATACTAATGAAGTTACAAAAATAAAATTAATCAACGTCATAAAAGTATTTTGAATTTACTGGCAATACGCCATCTTCATGGTCATGATTTTCTTTCATGTTAGTATCATCTCTTTGTTTATCACGGCAGAAAATTGTGAAAAGAATTTTTTGAAATATTAATAAATAATAAAATCAAAAGTAATTGATCCCATCTAATCATTTTTAATTCATTTTAAATGCAAAAAATGAATTTTAAGTATAAATATGTACGTTGAAAATGATTAATTCATTTAGTGAATATTGTTTTGAGTTACAGCGAATTTAATGATTAGGTTCGATCAACATTATGAAATCATTTGAACTTATTTGTTTAACATTACATTTTTATTAAACCACCTTCATAACCTACCTTCATGCTGGTGACATCTTTTTATTTGTTATGATATAGGCTAGAATATTCGAACGAATTCTACCAAATGCTCAGAAGATAAAATTAATTGTAAATAGCAATTAATTAACTAATTAATGATTATAGGTGAAGTGAGAAGAGTGTATTTATGGTGTGAGAAAGACGATGAGAGTTAATAAAAATAGAGAGTTGGGAAGATAATTAGAGAATTCTGAGTAACGGAAATAACTTTATCCTAAGTTGAATCACACGAAATAAATCCCTCAAAGGATCATTTAGCAGTGGGTTTGGGTGCAGCATGCGACTAATTCCGATTAGTGAAATTAATGCCACCCTGGAAAGGCGGATTTTCAAAGTTTTTTGGTTTCTTAATTATGTTTACTTCCTTTTTTCTTATGCAAATGCTAAAAATTAAGGATAAGATTGTACTAAAATATATTTCTACGAATTATTGTTCGATTTTGTTATAATTTATGGTTCAGAATTTATGTTTTCTTTCTCTTTCTCTTCCCTCTCTCTCTTTGAATTGTTATTTGTGTAACATAATCCCTAATTAATTTATTTTTTTCATTTTTGATAATTTGAATCAATTATTTTGATTTGTATCATTTATGAATATATAATGGATGAGATTAATTTCATGATAATTATTTAATCAGTAATTAGAAAGTATAATTTAAATATATTTTTGATATGAAATATATTTTATAAGGAATACAATTTCTATTAAGATTTTTTGTGTAATATTTAAAATATGAATAATGATTACTTTTAGTTTAGCTCTACTCTATATCGATATATCTTTATGGTTTTTTTTTTTATTATTGAAAGATAAGAAGTATGAGAGAAGATTTAATTGAGCTAACAACTTCTGCCTGAATGATCTATGATAGGAAAATAAGAGATGAATTAGTGCTGCGAAGAATGTAACAAAAAGATGGATATTTTATGATAAAGATAGAAAAATTATTGTGGCAAATAGGTTGAATTAAGAGATGGAAAGTTTTATTCTTTATTTTTTTATTACAATTGTCGCTTATTTTTTCTTTTAACTGCATATTTAACTTTATGAAAAATGATCGATCATAGAAGAGTGATGAGATTAAGCTGTTTTTGCTTTTCTACATTTATCATTTGTCATCGGAGTAATTAATTAATTATGTTTATAAAATTGTTGCAAAAAATTTATTGCTAATGACTTTAAGTGTTACTTAAATATAAGTAACAAAATGAAATTGCAAGATGGAAAAGGGTGAAATGACAAATAATGAGGAAAAAAAAGGGAATAAGCTGCTTGTTTAGAAAGCAAATGACACTGATAAGTGATCTTATCAGCAGGACAGAATTATTTTATACGATCTGTTATTTTATATGATAATTATTTTACACGATGTGTTAGTCGCAAGTTCGAATGGGTTCTTTTTTTTTTTTTTTTTTTACTGCAATGTTCGTTCCTTAGCATTACAGCAAAGTAATTCGAACTTTATCAGTTGTTAACTTATGCTTACAAATTGTTGAATAGTTCGGATGCGAAATAATTTAAGAATTTGTTGTTAAGATGATTCCAATTGTTAAATAAAATTTCGATGGAAATAATATTGCTGAATTAATAGGTAA